GTCACAACCTCTGCCAGTTTCCCGACGGTTTCCGTCTTTCCCCTACTCTGCACCCTTTTGCCCAATGTGTATCACTGCCGCACTTGAAACAATGGTTGCAGTCCTTTTTGTCCTGCTGACATACTACACATCGTCTCTTTGGTCTCTTAAATGTATTGGCTGGACCCTTGGCTTGGTCGTCATCATCAACAGTTTTTCTCCCATACTGGACAGTTTGCACAAGACTTGCGACTTGGCCTGTGAGCTCCCTAATTGCAGTGTTGCTCTCCTCCATTTTTGCAAACAGGGGGTTCTCTTTAACAGGTTTATTGGGTTTGGCTACGACTGTGGTTGTCAAAGGGTCCGTTTCATCCTCACTTCTCTCCAGTGTGCTCAGATTTGCCCTATGAGTGACTTTATTTGTGGCTTTCATCTTTTGAGCTCTCTCATTCTCATTATACTGGGCAATTTGCATTCTTTGCAGAAGCAGTTCATCACCACTGTTCTCATCCTGCAGACACATTCTCATTTCTGCTCTTATGTTATCATTTGACAAGCCTGTCATGATAGACTGAAAACATTGGCTATTAACTAGCTCTTTGTTATATTTAAGGCCAGATTGAGCACGCTCAGATGCAAACAGGATCTTTTGTTTCAGATCAAGTACTCGGACCAAAAAGTCAAGTGCAGTTTCCCCAGGCCCCTGTACAGCTTTCGTCAGTTGTTGGTACAATACAGTAGCATCCTTCTCTGCATAGTGGGCCCTTAATATTTGTCTGAGAGTGGTTAAGGTAAGATCTGTTTTCCCCTCTAAATAGCTTCTCAGTTTCAAGCCAGGGTTCACAGCACGTATCACTGCTTCCATAATTTCCAGTTCTGGATAGCCTTTCCTTAGACCACTTTCAATCTGACGTTCCAAGCTGCTAAAGCTCACACTGTCTTTTGATGAAGACTCACCCACATGTCCGTATATTCTGAAGTCCTTTCTGAACGCATTTGAAGACCAGCAGTTGTTGCTAATGGAGTCTCTGCCTCTGCTTTGGGTTCCCCCGTCCCCCGCTGTGTCCCGGGCGCGCTGCTGCCCCGGCGACGGCTCAAGCGGTGTCCGGTCTCCCCGTCGTTCCCCCGACGTCAGCGGTGCCGAGCGGGCCGCCTCCTCCTCCCCCTCATCAGCAGCTGAAGAGTAGAGTCGCGCCGCTCCCGCGCTGTCGATCTCCGCCGGGTTCTCCCGCAGAGTGTCGAGTGTGTCGCTCAGTTCCAAAAGCACAGACATGCCTTCGTCTTCCCTCTCCAGAAACTCCTCACGTTCACAGAACTTTATAATGTGTTTAACCAGTGCACGGCGTGTTTTGTTTTTAATGTCCTCAGAGTCTTTGCCCGTAATTTTACAGTACTCACACACTCTCTGCAGTTCTTTCACAGTTAGTCCGTGCAGTTTCGTTTCAATCTCCAACAAAAACTCTTCTCGTTCCTCCGACATCTTGCTTGAAGCTCAACACTTGAGAAAAACAACAAAACGAGACAGCGTCGTAGCTACGCTACACTTCAACTATTAGCTTGCTAGCTAGCTACCGTTCTGGCACGTCCGACGTTACCGTGTTTTTCAGAGTTGAAAAGTCCTTCGCCGTGAAGTAACGTTCCTTATGATCTCGGTGGAACCTCCAAATTGTTACACCACTCAGACCACGACAGTATGGTGTAGAAACACGAGCTCACTTTTATTACTTCACCGGCAGGACTGGTAGTACAAACAAGCTGTCA